CGCAAGGCAAGCAATCAAGTGCGCAAGCAGGGCAACATGGAAACCAAGGAAGGGGGTGAAGGCAGGAGGGCAGGGAGGAGCAAAGGAGCAAGACTAGCGGAAGAGATCGAGGGCACTAATCCAGTACGAATAGATATTCTACCTACTCTATCCCCATATCAAGGACGAATAGACGGTGGCTGTAAATAGTGATCTGGTCGCGGATAGATGCTGTTTCACGCAGTCAGTCAGTCAGTCAGTCGTGCTTGTGCAATGATGGAGATGGAAACAGGCAGCTCTCAAGCTCCAGTGGCGGAGATGAAAACATCCGCAGCACATGAGCTATCTTCGGACTGCTGGTATCGAAGAATGTGATGAATGCAGGCGGCTAAACAACGCCGTACCGGTACCGTAGCTTGGTTCGAGAGGGAGAAAAGAAATGTTTGGCCCTTCTCCTTCTATACCTCCAAAGGGATGTGGCATATGATATCCACATCCCATTTGATGTGCTCTTCATGGTTCCATTCTCAATTGTCCTTGGACTTGTGCATACATACCATTCTCATGTGTACAACAATGTTGATAACATCTGGCTCAACAGTGTGGGAGTCATTGGTGGAGCCCTAGTCATTCATGGCCTCCTATGGTTTGCTTCTCGCGGCTGGATGGAACCAGTTACAGGAAAGCCTTCAGAGGATGATGATGACGAAACCAGTGAAGACGAAGATACTGTTGGTGACCAACAAGACATTGCTTATGAAGTTTGGTTGCGCCAAGCCTTCGCCTGCAGATCCATTGGAGCCGACGCCTAAGAACAACTTTATATCAGGACAGGTTCGCCCTGGATGACTCGACTGGGCTCGAACTTCAGTCCATCTGCTGCCACTGAGAAGGCGTTATTTGAAATCGTCAATCAAGACGAATATCGAACAACGCCACAGACAACTCTTTGAAACCGGACATAAACTTGAGAGAGGAATCGCAATGTTAACCTTACTTTGCACTATGGATGCATAGATTCTGTCTTTATCTATACTAGCGTTTGTGCGTTTCTCGTCTCTAGTGGTGTCTAGGTGCAATTGGTGTGGTGGCGAATACGGCGGCTATTGGCAAAGCGCCGTGCTAGCTGGTGTGGTGTAGTGGGCTGAAAAAATGACTTGAAAAACCTGCGTATCAAACTGCAGGCAAACTGTTGGGTTGTTGCGTGGGTGTGGTTATTGGCAGAGAGTGCGGGTGGGTTGGCGTGGCTAGGCTTTGCGGCTGCCTTGTGCTTTAGACACTGAGAGCCGAGGATGGCACTGCATCGCGGGCCGTAGAATCCGGGGTGCAAGATTTCGTGGGTGATGTTACTTTGGGGGGACTGCGGACATTGCGGAAGAAATCTTCCACGCCCATGATTCCAATTCGTTGGCTGAGGAACTTTGGGACCAATGACGATGTCACCTGACTCAAACTAGTAAGCTCTGTCTGACCGGGACAGCCGGGGACTGCCCGCAGCACGTTCACACCCCAAAGAATTTCACTCTTGGGCCTATCAATCTTCCTGCTGGACTTTGCCGTGTGGTATCCAGCCATCCCAGAGTTCAACGATCGACTCAAAATGACATATCCCTCCTGCGGGCCTCCGGGGAGAGGACGGCAGTGCATCACAGTGAACAGCGTGACACTAAGACCTGTGAACGGGACTCTGGTTTCACTCTTGACAACCTTGACGCCGGTATTGGCTTTCTTGGTCAGCACTTGATCCTCCACTCGAAGTATGTCTTCCCGGCCCATGCAAAACTGGTTGTATTCCTCGGTGCGGTTGCTGTCCCACATGAGCTCTAGGAACTCTCTGGGGCTCATCCGATCCACAACACCTCGTGCCATCATCAACGAGTATTGTTGGTTGACGGCACTGCCACCACGTTGTTTCCTAAAGTTTCCAGACCAGATCAAAATGTCAGTCCGCAGCGTTTCGTCCCATCGTTCCTTGGTCTGCATCGCCTTCTTCCGTAGTAGCTTTGCCGTGGAGCCCTCCGTTTTCCATTCCAAATCCGGGTTGCTCGTGCTGGGAGCAGCGGGAGGGATACTTGGCGCATGTGTGGTGGCCAAGTCAATGCCTCGCGCCGCCATTTTGTCCAACGAACGAGTCAGCAGCGACATGTCACGGAATTGTTCGCCCAGATCAATGTAGAGTACAATGGCAGTCGCATCATCATCCATAAGAATGCCCAAGTCTTCTACTCGCAAAAGAAACTTGGTGTAATCCGCTCTGGTGGCGCCGGATGGGGCAGGTTTGGTATCGCTATCGCTATCGCTGGCCACGGATACTAGTTCGTCCTCCTCCACCACGCCTTCATCCGATACACCCGGAATGATCAATCGATCCAGTGCTTGCTTATCATCGTTCTTCCAGGAGCCATTCTTGGACGGGTCCTTTTCTTTGGGTGATGGCGGAGTCACAATCGCAATGACGGCGGATCCAATCTCATCCTTCACCTTGCCGGCCGTCTCGAGCACGACAGGCACCAACCACAAGAGACCTTCCAAAGGATTTCCACCCCGTTTCTTCTCGGATTCTTCTTGTTTTGGCTCCGTGTTTGTTGTAGCCGGTGCATCTTGTTTGGTTGTTTCACTTGCAGTTTGCGTTGTTTCTTTTTCTTCTTCAGCGCCACCATTCGTCAAAACTAATTGCCGACTAGTAGTACCACGATGCGCCAGTAGTGCCTGATGCACCGTCCATCCAATAAAGTCCTTGGTAGCACAAACCACGTGAAATGGCAACGTGACGGGCAAACAAGCCGTCTTGACGGCCAGACCTCCCGCGGCTTGCACAACGTCACGCGTGGACATGACCAGCGCTGCCATTTCTTTGGACTTTAACAGCGCATCCGCAGAGTTTACTAAATAATGACAATAAACGAGTGAGTGAGTGTGCACTATTGCTAGCATGCTAGCTAGCTATTGAAAGTAGGATCAATTTGGAAGACTTACACCAAATCTGCAGGGCTTCTTGCGGCGGTACTGCCGAAGCACGGGTTGGGGAGCGATACATGACAATCATAGAACTCGGTTCTTTCATCAGATGGTCTTGCTGTCCTTGTTGCTGTCTTGTCAAGGCAGACTTTGTGGGCGATTGTCTTGGCTTTTGTGTATTGTTGTTGGTAGTGCCCGATTTCAGCCACTCCAGACCTTCATTGCCGCGCAATGGTTCGTCCTCATCAATCGTCAAGGTGGTGCTATTGGGACTCAATTCGGAGAAGATGCTCGCATCGCAATTGGCCGGTGCGTAGACTTCGGTGCTCGTGGACAGATTCCAACATTCGGGAGTACCAGCAATCAAAATGGTCTTGACATTCTCCGGTAACACCACCTTGGTTATGGGTTGTTGCACTACAGTTTGTTGTTGCTGCTGCTGTTGCTGCGCTGATTGTGGCGAGTCTTGTTGATGCAGATCATTGTCAGACCGATTCTTTCGACCCATTAAGGATCGACGGCGACGTTGCGGCCGAAGAGCATTGCCTTGCCAAAACCCTCCTGGCATCTTGTCTTGTGTTGTCTTTGCTCAAAGTATTATCAACTACAATAACTACTGAAACCAGCGATGGATGAAACCTCTGGGACTCGACTCGACTCGTTACGGTTTGACCGGCAAGATGGACTGAGGGTGCTCGTCGATGACTCGTCGATCTCTAACGACAGCACAACAGCTCAATAAAGGACTTGCTCTCGTTGATCGTCGACGATGACAAAGAGTCAGCTCACAAAGTGTTTCTCAAGACGGACTCGACTGATGAAACGTAACGTCTCCTTCTTCTGATACTCCTATCTAATAAAAGAGGGTATCACAGGTTCTGCCATGGTTAACAGCTTTCGGAATGCAATTGGTCTAACTAATTTCGTCGTTGCAGTTGTCGTGGTGGAGGCGATGACACTCCCTCTCAAATGAAAGGTGCAGCGGTGCAGCAGGCGCTCGTAAATGTTCTTAGTTAGAGGGGCTGTCATTTGATAACTCTATTGAACACTCGGTTTTCAACTTCTGAGAGAGTTTGCGACGTCACTGATGGTAATCCCGCAAGAATTAAGCAAGCCTGGCTTCTTGGTTTTAAGGCAAATGTGCGACTCGACTGAGTCACTCATTTCACTCATTGTTGGCATCAAATCCCACCCTCCTTTTGTCTTCTTCAATCTGACGCACGTGGTGCGTGCACAGATCTTTCCTCTGCTCCACTGGGCCCAGTTGGAAAATGGTCGCCCAGGCACTGGCGCTTTGTTAGTTGTATCCAATCCAAGCGCGTACTGTACGGTAGACCCCTCGAACAGTGGTAGCGATGGTGCAAACTAGACTTGTTTTGCTGCTGTCGGCGCCGTTGCTGTTGGTGTTGAAATCGGGGTCGGCATTGGTTTCGCGGCATTCATCCTGCCTCCTGCGACGAAGTGGCATCAGATCTGCAAGGCCGCGGCTGTCCCTCGTATCCCAAGATGAAGACGCTCTCAGCGAGGCTTGCTTAGATAATGAATCTTCAAGACATGGGTTACAACCGTTTTCAAGACGAGCAATTTTTCAACGTGTCGGCATACTATCATTCGTCCTGGGAAATCCACTCCTGGCCAATGCAGCCGCTCCTGTCACCATTGAGGAAGCCGATAGCTTTGGTGCGAAAGCTCAGAGGTTGCTTCGGCCGAAGCCACCCAAAGCTCTGCGTCCAAAACTCAACAAGGATTTTGCCGTGCTACTCATGAGGTCATCCTATATGGCGCTGGATCAACTGGATTGTGTGGCCATGGTGAGTACAGTTAACCCAAAAGGGAATTTGATTTGTCCTCGCTAGTTTGAATGCATGCACGGGTTCATCTCACGATTATCACATATGAAAACAAACAAACACGACAACTTGCTACTGCAATGTACTACAATGGCCACTACTATGATACTAGGATCAATTTCAAAGAGACTTTTTCCTGATACGCCAAGCAGAGTATCAGTTCTACGTCAATGAACTGGGGCCAGGGATTGTCCAACAGGGCGATTTGACCGACCCCTACTACTTTGATTTCATCTCGTTTGCGCAATATGCCACCATTAGCCGAGAAATATTGCAGAATCCGGCAGTGGTCTTTAATGAGCAAAAACCCATTGAGGTGCCAGAAGACGAACCACAACGATTCGAGACGGTCGTGATCAAGCGAGATCCCGCTCTTACCAATGACAAGTTGGCATCCACGCACAGTCAACTCGTGGCATTGGCCATTTTGAACAAACTGGACGAGACGTTTGGAACCACCGATGCTAGAATACCCAAGGTGGATCCGCAAAGTCGACCAAGTGCAGGTACGTTCGTTCGTTGGCATACAGTGGATCCCGCCTCATCTTGGTGACACTGTAATCATTGCTGATAATTGTCGTTCCCACATCCATCCCAACCCGCCCCGGTATATATATACTCTTGCCTCTCGAATAAAACCCAAAAAGACGCTGTGTTGGCATCTGTTTCACAGCTTGTCAAGCTCTTTCTCATCAATGGGTATGCTTGGGACGGAAAGGCCTCCATATCCAAGAATAGCGCCGCAGTTGATGGGGATGCCTCTGGAACACAAATTAGTATAAACTTGACGGCACCTGCAAATATTTGGTCTGGACAAGCCCTCCAGCTACGCAACAAACTTGGAGGTGGCGTTTCCAACTCGTTCATCTTGACCTGTGCCAACGAGCTGGTCCGACGCATGGGATACGAGATTGCAGCAACCTCAGTGTCATATACCGGAACCAACGAAATTTGTACATTTACGCTATCATAGTAATGAAAAACGGAAAAAGCACCCTTCGTGGTGGCCTTTGGCTCGGATCCAAGCTTGATTGGTTTCCAGGGAGCCTTGTCGCTTGGTTCCTTCAAGCAACCGCAGCCACCCATCACGCTCGTCAGTCGAGAACTGGGGCCTAGTCAGAAGCCAGGGCTACGCAAGTCGCACATCGTGGCGCAAGGGGCAGGGTCTTCCAGCAGAACAGGTTGATACACAAATCTACCTAGAGTGGTCAATCAATATTAGTTCTATACTTTGGGATCCGCCCGAGCGGATTGGTGGAACCAATTCTCTTTGTTGCCTTACTCGGTGAACTCCCGAACATTGGCAATTACACATATGTTTCGAAGTATGGCAGTTCAATCCTCTACAACGCGACCGTACATCCGCATGGCTCGAGTGATGAAGTTTCGGCATTCTGGACATTTGTTGCGAAGCCTCATGAGACCTTGAAATGTAGCGCATTCTTTACAAAGACAGGGGTGCCCGCAAGGAACAAGCACTACCGAAACGTCATTTTCCATGCACACGACGCATGATTTTGTCGAGGAGCGGGGTGTCTGGGGCGTAGAGGACGATCTAGGTGGTGGGGTTGTCGGCGTCGGCGTGGATGGTGGAGCTGTTGGTGTTGCCGCTGTAGTTGGACGAGCCGCTGAGTTCAAGTTCACCCGCGGTGGAAACGGAGCCATTTGACGGCGTTCGGGGCGCCGAGCTCTAAGCAAAGGGCGACCAGGATGTTGACTTGCCTGCCGATAAGAGATGATGTATTCTGGGTATGCCTGGGTTGAAGATGTTACCCTGACTAGGTCTGCTACATTTTCACTGGACGGTCGTACCAACTCTGAGTGGTAATTCACAGAGTGAGAAGGGAGGGGATTCAGCGGACGCACCCAGGGCTTGGTCCTGCCTAAGGCGACACGAGATAGAACCACTTGTCTCGCATGCACACCCATGAATCCGTTCGGACGGTGGCAGTACTGGTCAGCAAAAGTGGCCTTTGCAGTGAAGCACAAGCTGGTGTCGGAGTCGGTCGGTACAATGCACTTGGTGAAGAACTCGAGTGGTGAGCTCTGCAGAAGCAGTTCTGCTGGTGAATGTTGTCCTGTTCCCATGAAGAGACGCTTCTCGTTGGCAATTCCCCAATTTTCAGCTGCAACACTTTCACGAGTGTCGGCAAAGGATCTCCACAACGCGGCATTCTGAATCCGCTGAATCGACAAAACCTCATAGTCTTGTGCACCCATTCCTGAATTCTCGGAGAAGAAAGCATCCAAGACTCGTTGCCGCTCCAAAGCATCAATGACTTCGGGCATTGTGTTGGTCCCAGGCTGCCAGTTGTCCGGCTCGGGAAGCGCCTTCTTTGGCAGTAGTGGAGGGGGCTCCAAGGGTTGATGATGCGTAAAGGCAGGGGCTGAGACGGCGATCTTCGCTGTGGGAGCAACGAAGACTCGGTTTGATTGTTTTGCTGCACCAACAACCATGCAGTTGGTGCCAATGCTTTGTCCAACAGCAAATCTGAAAGGGTCAACCCCATCGAGGATACCACATGTCTTGGCTTGATATGTTCCACAAGGGATATCCGTGCCCGGTGGAGGGCCCACAGCCAGTTCAAATTTGTTGCCTGCTCCAATGCGAAAGATGAGAGCTGTTGGGTTTTGCAAGGGGAATGCCACCTCTGTGTAACCAGCATCACTATCCAACTTCACAACGACTCCCACACTGTTGATACCACCATCACTGTCTCCATCCACCCAATGAGGCCCCCGCTGTACAAACATCCCCAACTGAATATTGTCAACTGTCACCGGGGCCCCTGGTTGTGGAGGCTGTGCTGCCGGTAGATAATCTTGAAGCAACGGACTGGCTGGATCCTTCTTCAAAAAGGTCTGCAGTGCCAGAGAAGTGCTGCGAGTGGAAGGACACTGTTGCAGAAGATTTGTGACGATGCTTTTTAGAACACGAGTGTAGCCAATCGTCTGCTTCTGAGGGCGAGCTGGTGGGATCATTTCTGGAAGAAAGGGGAGTTGAATGCATGGCAAGGCCAGGGCAGCTTCAGCAGAGTTGTTTGCAACAATATATTCAGCCAAAGTTTGTTCGGTGGTCAAATCAACAAGCTTCTTGCAGCACAGCAACTCGAACAAAACACACCCCAATCCATAGACATCCACCTTTGTCGGATCCAGGCCAGAAAAGTCAGCTTGAGAACGAGCTCTCAGCAATTCAGGTGGAGCGTAGATTTCTGTAATATGTGCTGCGTCTCTTCCTGAAGACACAGCACTGCCAAAGTCTGCCAACAAAAGCTTTCCCCCGCCCGTTCTATCAATGAGAATGTTGGAAGACTTTATATCCTGATGTGCAACTCCGCGGCTATGGGCATGCTGCAATGCTGAGCTGAGTTGGAATGCATAAGAGGCAATTCGTCGCTCTGTGTAGGGTTTGCCTTGGCCTTGATCCAATGCCTGGTGTTTGGCCAGAATCTCTTCCGCCAAAGTTCCTCCATCAGCATTCTGCATCACAATGCAAGCGTAGTTGTCACCAATGAACCAGTCCTCAAAGTAGATGATTGCCAATCCCTCACTGGATCGTGTGCACTCCAAGCGCAAGACGGTGTCAAACTCTCGTCGCAACATCTCTTTACGATCGTCATTGTTGTCATGGTTGTTTGGATCTAATGCTATGAACTTGAGAGCCACCCGACGCCCTGATTGCTTCTTTGCAAGAAAAACGCTACCGAATCCACCATGGCCTAGGCAACCGATCTGCTGGAAGTGATAGTCAATGTCTGATAGCGGTGTAAGCTCTTCCTGACCACCTGGTGGCTCATTCGTTGCTGGCTCGCTATGCCTTCGTGTTGACGGATCAGGTCTCGCTGCCGGTGGATTGCCAAACATCAGGGAGGGTGTGCCGACAGAGAAAAAGACGTCACACTGCCTCTTCGAAACTGGGGCTCTGAAAACGCGAAGCGACGCTCGGCTGAACTCTGATCGAAGAACGCAGACTATGGTGAAGCGACACCCGGCCGAACTCTGACCGAAGAATGAAGAGGAAATGATTTCTGCCGCTTCTTCTTCTGTGGGACTTGAAAGTCGATTGGTTGCGAAGTAACGAGACGAGATTGTCCTTTCAGTGCGGTGGGCAGCAAGCGTTGTCAACACACCTTGAATGTCGTTGAAAACCGCAACAACGTCTGAAAACAAATTTGAGAAAAAAAATGAAGCAAAACCCCAAAATGGAACTTTTTTCAATTTTTTATTAAACCAAAAAGCGTGTAACGCTACTAGCTAGTACTCTAGTATCTAGTAGTACAGTAGGTGCTGTTGCTGGTATCGGTACATGTACATGTACCAGTCGAACGAGGACCATCCCGCCATCCCAGCCCAACCAAAAGGCCGGGGCAGCACCAATGGCGTATGATTTGGGTTGTTGCTGTTTTTGCGGGCCAACGCCACATGCTTGGAGAACATGAGCTGCCTTCTGATTGCCTGACTCGTCGTCACTCATACCGGTCGTGCTAGCTACAAGTACCGGAATGCCAATAGCCCTGAAGCAAGCCAAGCATGTATAAGCGCACCACTTATTACTTAATAAACGTAATAGTTAGGGTCGGAATTGCGCTCTGGTTAACTCACATACAGTACGACGGTTGCATGCTTTTTCCGTCATTGTCCCTTATAATTGCCTCCATGCCAGAGTATAACATGGCTTGCCACCCGTACCTACGGTTTCTTCCAGTACACCACCTTTTCGATGTCTTCGTCGTCATCTCCTGTGGCCGTCTCATCGGGTTCCATCCTCTCGCAACCATAGCAGGAGTTCAGAAAGACCTCACTGGCCAAGCGAATGGACAGAGAATACAGAGATGTCATGACATTGAAAAGTCCGAGATTGGAAATGTTGTCAAATCGGTTCTGTCTGGTTTGTAGGAACAGAGTCAGGACAACTTGGGGAATATCCTCCAGCACCAGAATCGCAACGGGAAGCCATACCCAGTCCGTTCGACGAACACTGGCCAGATTGACCAATTCTAAAAGCCACGTGAAGGACCCCAAGCAACTGAAGATGAACAGCGCCAAAATCAGAGGATCTTGCCCCAAGGATTCCAGACCACTATTGTTGTAAGTGTCGATGAAGAACCACCAATCGGCCACCAAATCCAAGTCATCGGCAGTACTGGTCAACCAAATGTTCAGTTCTTCTCGGCGGCGTTCTCGCCGTTTGTCCTTGTCTTCGGGTTCATAGAACGGATCCAACGTGACGATCTTGTATTTACTGCTGCAGCAGCAACAGTTGCCATGCAGAATAGCTCGAATCAAAGCAGCAAACACCATTGTCCTTTATTAACTTTTTTGGTGCAAGACAAAGATAGATGATGACGAGGAGACGGGTGGGGGGAGATCTTCCTTTGTGTGTGCTTGCTAGCAATGGCACATTCTTTCGTTGGCTCTTGCGAAAGGTCACATTTCAAATTCCAATCGTGGACAAGATATTTCAAAAAAGCTTCCGAATGATCCATCAACCTGAACCCTCGACATGAAACCCCAAGGAACGAACCCAAAGCAAAGGCTTGGTTTGGGGTGCAATTGCTGGAGCCCCCATCTTTTAGACATGTAGTCTAGATTGATGGAGCCCCGTCCTTTTAGTTTCAGTGTTAGATGTAGTCTAGATACCGTACTAGTAGTGCATCCCTGCACCAGCAAACACACGCACTCATCCCAGACCTGTAACTTCCGGCTCATGATTAGACAGTCTTTGGTTCATTATTTACTAGCTAGCTATGTAGGTCAAACATCTTTTAAAAAAGAGAATGAAAGTGGTTTCGACGTTTGGCCCTCCCTCTTTGCTTTTGGTCCGTCTGCGCAGCCCTTTCCAATTCAACTTTCTTCACTCAGAGTGACAGACAGAAAACGCATTTGACCTGGGATGTCCGATTTTTTACCTTCCGGTGGACGCAACTGTCAAAAGTAAGCTAATTTGCTGCAGGAATTGGCGCCATGGCGAAACTGCCCAGCCACCGTTTGTTCGCAGTACAGTCAGTAGCGCCTGTGCTGTTCGGACACCCGCGTAGAAAGAATCCATCCTTTCAGTGCATTGGTGGTGTTGTTATTGTTGCTGTATATTCTTTACACAGTCTTGAGCGAATGATGATGCAAATGATGATCCTTCCGAATATGATTGGGCAATACAATATCCTTGACGAACCGTTCCAGAATGTACCCCGTCAATCCCCAAATAATTTCCGGTCCACCGACAAAGATGGGAGCCAAATCTTCCTTTTGTACCCACAAACTATTTTCGAGTAACTTGGAGAGTGGAATGGTGAATACTTTGGCGACTTCATCGGTATTGGTTTGTGGATTGTCTGGTACTTCTCCCAAATAACACACCACCGGTGTAACAGCCACTCCGACCAAATGATGGACTTCACCCCAATTGCATCGTAGAATGCCCAGCACTTGGACTATACTCATATCGAGCCCCGGTATTTCTTCCTTCATTTCCCGCAAACAGGTCGAGACAATGGTCGTATCATGAATACTACAGACCATGCCTCCGGGCAAACAGACTTCATCGGGATGCGCGCGCAAATGCGGCGATCTCTTCTCGAGTAATAGGGATGGCACGCCATTCACCAAACAAAGTGGAATGACGACTCCAGCGCGTTGGGTATGCGCCGTGGTGACGGTCCGTGGCATGCGCATGAGTGCCTTGCGAATGACTTCCAGTGATCCGGCATCCAAATGACGACAGACATCCAGCCGGCGTCGTTGTTTGCGTCTCTGGAGAACATAACGAGGATGAAAATTGGTCAATACTTTTTCCAATTCCTGATAATCGCCAGCTTCCGCCAATAGCGCGCATTGTTGCAAGACATCTTCTCGATCCCTCAAAGCCGATGCCAAACTGGCAACGGAATAATTCTCCATTAATAGTCGCATGTCAATTTTGGGATCTTCGTGCAAGACGCCGTGTTGGGCGGCTCGCATGCGCCCTCCTTGCCATTCTTGTTTTTCAATCCGATCCATGACGTCTTGTGGAATTTGGACTGGTTCGGGGGGTTCAAAGGAAATGGTACTATGCATGGTGTTGTCTTGAGTAGAGGCAGTCTTGTTGCCGGTAGAAGATACCTTGGGTGGAAGCGGACGTGGGAATTCATCTTCGCTGTAATCGAGATTTTGAGCTTGTTCCTCCAAGTCCGTTTCTGCACCATCTTCTTCCAATTCATCATCATCATCATCATCGCCGTCGACGAGTGTATTGTGGCTGGTACTGGAGAAATAGTGGACCGGTTGGTAGGTATAGGAGGAACGTGGTGGCTTGGTGGTGGTGGTATTAATGACAATGGTAGAGCTCCTAACAGCTCCCCTCAACCCATACAACCTCGAGATGACGGCAGTGTTTCTCCCCAAATTGGAGAGTCGTTGGAGCATCATTGTCAACAACTAACTAAGAAACAGTAACAAATATACTTTTCTAATGCAACAGAAATAGTGCTCTTGACGGAAGCAATCAGAAACAAGAGAATGGGATTGTGATTTCTTGTGGAGGAGCCAAACTCGAACAATGACGTCCTCCCTTACTACAACTACCGGAACAATGGATGCGTGTCGGTCGCATCATTGCGCCTTCGATTGGTCGGTGACAGCCATGTTGGGGTGATGTGGGAGTTGTGATGCTTGTGTAGCTGACGCCGACGTCACTTCTCTTTTGACTTCTCTTTGGTTCTTTCAATCGACTAACTGGACTCAACAGGGTTAAGGCTTATTTGCCTTCCGTATCAGACACAAGCACGATTTGGAGGCGTTCTGATCTCAATCAACTCGCTGAACCCAGAGATACTGGTACAGTCGCAATCAAGGAAAGACGATATCAGACATGACAAGCAACGATCCAAGACACAAGCCAACATTCCTATGACATAGCTACAAAAACAGAACTGAGTTAACCTGAAAAGAATAGAAGAATAGAACAAAGAATGATGTACGGCAACCGTCGCAAGAGCACTTCCGACGCCGTATTGGCATCCACGGCGGGAGAAGATTCGTGGAAGACATGGGCGGGACGATCGCAAGGCAGTGAAGGCTTTGAATTTTGGGATCTACTACGAGGTGCCAAACGAAAATTCAATTCCAAATTTGTCTGGTCCATACCTCCAAGTGGAACGCCGTGTCCCGTCTGCATGACACCGCCTACCGATAAATCCGAATGGCACATTACTTCGGCGTGTGGCCATGCCGTGTGCAAGGACTGTCTCACGATGTATGCGTCCAGTTTGGTACGAGATCCCGCGCATCACGGACCACTCAAATGTCCCGTGTGTCCACTACCACTGCGACCCAAAGATGCCATTATGGCCTTGTCGGGCGACGCCCAATTATTGCAATTGTGGGATCAAAAAATACGAGATGAAGTATTGCGCGCATTGCCGGGTTATCGGCATTGTCCACACTGCAACAACAACAACAACAACAATACACAAAATGATGACAATGACGATGACGACACACCAACAACCACTACTGGATTGGCAGGAGGAGGCTACGTGACTCCCGAATGTTTGGCACCCATCAATAAACAACGCGAACAAGAAGCACTGAAATGGCTCAATCATCCCATCATGACACAAAAGGGATTTGCCTATCTCTGTCTCCTTTACATACTCCTCTACTGCGGACGATTCCATTCCACAGACTTTTTTGTCAACTTGATCAATGTCTCTGTTGTTCCCATGTGGTTTTTAAAACGCATTTGGAGATTGGTCAAGCATATCATTGCCCATGAGGCGCGCAAAACACTCTTTGCGCCCATTGCCGTGGAATGTCCGTGTTGTCAACAATCCTTTATCCTCAATGCCGAAGCCGAATTGGGAAACAATGTCATTACCGATGAAGCGACACAAAAGTGGATCGGATCCAATACACGGCCGTGTCCCAGTTGTTCCGTGCCCATTTCCAAAATTGAAGGATGTAATCATATGCAGTGTGCGTACACCCGTTCATTCGTTCATTCATCTATCTATCCAGATAGAGCAATCTCTCACACTTCTCCGCTTCTTTTTCTTGTTTGCCACAGGCGCCCACTGCCGCGCACGGTTTTGTTGGGCTTGCATGCGGGTGGGATCGGCATGTGCCGCATTCAATTGTCATCATGGAGCTCCTTACGGAAATGCTGGCACGGACCAAGGCGAACAATCCACTGCAAATAATGAAGAAGGGGGGATTCTAGATCGGATTGATTCGATTGCACGGGAAAGTACACGGTTGGATGGCTCCGATGTCGTTACGTTTTGTGGAATCGCCATGAGCATCGTGGCGCGAGAAAATCCATCCGTCAAGTTGCTGGCACGATTTCTAGTCACGACATTTGCCTTGGTGTTTTCCAGTGGAACCGTCACAACCGTGGTCCTGGCATTTGTGGTGGGTGTGGCGATGCGGGATCAAAGAGTGTGGTTGGCGAATAGAAGAGGGGAGAGGCTCGATCAGGAAGAAGATGAAATAATGGATGGCAGTCACATCAATCGGGCAATCCGACGAGGTTCCGCAGCCGTCCGAAACTCCATTCGGATGACCACAGGGGAGCTGGCGAACGAACTGTTTGATGTGGATGGTGCTGTGGAACGCGGTCTGGTCGACGAAGCAATTCGGCGATCCTTAGAGGAGCAATGACAACGAGTAATCACGAGCTATTTCGAATTATTAGACTGTTTGTAGCAAACAGAAAGCCCTTTACTTTAGACTCAAGTTCCGTTTTGATCTGGCTACATCGGAAACACGTCCAAGATTGAACGATCTATCCTGTCCTCCATGGTCCGACGTGGCCAATCATACTCAAGCGAAAGCACAAATTCGGTGTTCACAGAAGTAGAGTGGGCAATTTGGTTTTCCTATTCCAAACTAGGATCTACGAAAGCTTCCACGGACCCATCCACCCCGTGTTTTTTCTTCTTCACGATGCCTGCTCTGTACCGGTACTCGTGCCATTGGCCAAGGAAAGTACTACCGGTAGTAGGACACAGGATGGATCTTTCTTCAATACAAACGGCATCAGTGACCTTCAGCATGAGATCCAGGGCAGCCATTCTCTCGCAGCCACTGCATGACACCCCTTTGGTTATGGCGTCTGGCAGCTTCAAAAGACTCTTCATTCCATGGACAACCATTTGCGCGCGCCCACTTCAAGAGTTCCAAATGCCCCTTTTTAGCTGCTTCCCGGCATGTTTCTTCATTCCACGGACAACCGTTTTCATGAGCCCACTTCAAGAGTTCCAAATGCCCTTTTTTAGCTGCTTCCCGGCATGTCTCTTCATTCCATGGACAACCATTTTCATGAGCCCACTTCAAGATTTCCAAATGTCCATTTTCAGCTGCTTCCCGGCATGTCTCTTCATTCCATGGACAACCATTTTCATGAGCCCACTTCAAGATTTCAAAGTGCCCATTTTCAGCAGCTTCCCGACATGTCGCTCCGTTCCATGGACATCCATTTGCATGAGCCCACTTCAACAAGTCTAAATGTCCAAATCTAGCAGCACACCAGCAAATAGCTTCATCCCATGGATAACCATTTGCACGAGCCCACTTCAAAATTTCCAGATGGCCACCTGTAACAGCCATGATGCATGTCGTCTTAGTCCTAACTGGTCGATTGTCACTCCCATTTGCGTGAGCCCACTTGAGAAGCTCAAGATGCCCATTTTGAGCAGCTCCCCAGCATGTCCACACATTCCATGGGCAACCATTTGCACGCAACCATTGGAGCATTTCCAACTGGCCGTTTTTTGCCGCTTCTACACATGTCAGCTCATTCCATGAGAATCCTAGTTGCCGTGCCCATTGAATGACAGTAACATTCCCAACTTTGGCAATGGCAGCACAAACATCATCATGTCTGGGTTGTTTATTTCTGGAATTGTCGCCGAGCCAGAATTCAGCACAGGGCAGGTTACAAAATGTGGCACCATGAAGAGTGTCTGTGCTTTCTGCAGAGCGACGGCGAGACATTGGGGTATCCTTCACCTCTCTGGGGTTCTTCTTGAGCTCAATATCACAGTACTCTTTGTACATGCGATTGAGCTGCTTGTTGACTGGTCCAATGAAAGCGTACTGTCCAATGCCAGCAAAAGGCAGGATGCCTTGGATCCAAATATCATCTTCAGCCAACAGAAGAGGAGACTCGGTAGTATTAGTAGCTGTACCGGTACCGATATTCATGGTACGGTATGGTTGGCAGCTCCAGTAGCGATAACAGCGACAACACGTCAATTGGGTTGTCCCAATCTTCAATTCAATGGTACGTATGTACTGGTTGGAGGGAGGGCCACTACAGTGCTCTGGGTCTCAGCTGGGGGTGGTCGGGGGTGGTCAATTCGAGACGAGCTACATGTAATGGTTCTATCCGTGTCATCCGGATGTTAGAGCCCATTCGTGTCTTGGCGCCTTTCCCATTGCACGGCCAGCCAGCCAGCCAGAGGTGGGTCGGTGGTACCGGCTGCAGGGCAGGATTGGTGGCGTTGGCCTGGGAGTGCTCAAGCATGAGTATCCAGTAAGCGGGACTATGCACCAGAGATTAATGCATTACACTCCTCCCTCACTCTTAAGCTACATGGGTTTACGATACGGTGCACTCAACTTTTGTTAAGATAACCTACTAGACACTCATATTTCCCAAACCAGTGAGATAAGCTATGAGTGCCAATGTCTCAAATCCTAAGCTAATACTACTTCTATATGAGGAGTGAGGGAAGCTAGTATCCACTACCGGTATCTTCCACATCACCATCTACATCCAAGTACTCCATATCCCCATCTTGCTTGGGGTGCTTCTCTACCACCACGTCTTTGGTTTCATCAATTTTGGATTTGCACATACCAGTATACCTCCAGTACTGGACTAAGAAACAATTCACTAGTAACTTATTGGCAAGGTAGGCATGTAATATTGTATACACTGTGTTGAAGTAGGTGTTCTCGGAGTTGTGCGTTGTTAATTCTATCGTTCCCGCATACCAACACTCCTTTTTTAAGTATCTTTCGAGGTTACAGCGAGACAGCTGTCGGTACAGTACCATTAATTTTCAGACATGCCTGGGTAGTGAAAAGCTCTTTGGCTCGGGAATCTTTTGGCTGTCGATGCCAGAGAATGCAATCAGCGAGGACACGAGGACCCCACTATTATCACCAAGAGCAGAAGCTAATACCTCTCCTGTTTTATCCACTTCTTCTTTGCTTTGTTTGACTTGACCATGATCGGACGCGTTGCTTTGGCTTTCGCCTTCTTGGCAGGACTCGCTCAGGGTCAGCAACCCGGCGATGCTGGAGTTGAAGTCGGATCTGAAATCTGCACCTACGGATACATTATGGATCAGTTTTGCCTTGTACGTGTTGTCGCTGCTGTTGTGCTTTTCTCTATTTCTATTGATTGCTTGGAGATGGTGCTAACTTGGTCTTCTCCTGCGATCTTCGTCGTGACTTTGGCTGTGTCATTATTTTCTTGTGGTTACTCGCGCATCAACGACACACTGTGACTGTTGCTGATTTCGACAGGATCAAGACTTCTTTATCGACGCCCCAGACCTCAAGCCATTGGTCGTCCCTTTCAATCATTCCCTCCATTGCTTGTTGGATGTCCCACAGTGCATTGAAACCCCCTTCCATATTCTTCAGGATCCCGCCTCTGAAGGTGCCAATTATACCGATGGCTGGGTGGCCGAAGCCAACGATTTGTTGCTTCAAGAAGGACGGACACTGGGATCTGCGACTGTTGGTTGCACAACCTGTACTTCCACTGACGGCGATTTGAAGCAAGGATTTCGCGCCACTGTACGTGGAACCGTCAAGAGTTTGGATCCCCCTATTTTGACTGTCACGTCGGTGGATGATTTGGACGCTGGTGAAATGGGATGCATGCCGGATGGTCCTGAAGCGGCTGACCCGGCAGCTTCTTCTGCTCCTGGAACCACTGATGCTCCGGCAGCTACTACTGATGCTCCGGCAGCTACCGCTGCTCCAAGTGCTGCAGTCTCCCGTAGTGGTGGTGTGGTTGCCAGTGTGGCCCTCTTGGTCTTTGGAATTATGGTTTAATTTACAAAAGGGAGTTGAGGAGACAGCATCTGGGCGTATGAACATGTGAAATGGTTTGCAGTGGTGATCGAATGAAAATAATAATTAGCTGTCTGTTTGTTATAACCCCCCGCAGAGGTTCTCGGAGCTCCCACGCGTGGCTTCTGCATTTTGGACGTCTCTCATACAATCTTGGCTACCCATTCCACTTCTGGCTAGCTGCCGGCCGAGGAAAATGGTTGTCTTCCTTTAGTGGATGCTATTGTTGCTCTCTTGCAACCCACAATCCACTCCATCGGGTTCATTCTGAAAACGCTCCTACTGATTCGATTCGCCTCACCAGCAGCGAAAGCAGCACTCTTTTTGGTTCGATCTCTCTTTGCACCGCCGCACGGGTTATATTATGCAAAAGGAAAGCTTCCAAATTCCACCTCGCGAAATGCGGAATACAAGAGGAGCCACAAGTCAGAACCAACCAAAGCTTTGATCGGATTCCCAGTTGAGAAGAAACCTTAGAAGAAACCTGACCAGAGAACCGTACAGAATCACGCCAACTAGAACACTGCGTGTCCCACCGACGATAGCTTACCGTGCAAATTCCATGATTTGAATAGATTGGATTGTCCATCCATGCATGCATGCATCCATGGGATGAACACACATGTACCAGCGCTACTCCAGTTGCCATTTCTCAACTGGAGCAACCCAGGAACATGTCTAGTTCATCCCATGGACTCGAGGACTCCCTCGATGTAGGACTTTTTCTTCCTGTTTGTGGACGTTTATTTTATTTATTTTGGAATGCCCAAGTGTGCTCGTGCAAATGGATGCCCATGGACTGAAGGTAGAGTTCTTCCATCCAATTCACGGAGAGCCATCGGCACGGGCACATTTGGGCAAATCAAATCAAATCAAATCAAATAAGCGTCGAGTCGAGTCGAGTCCACCACCACTGAAAGAAGCACAAAATAGAATGTGAAAATAACATTAATGATGATGAGCTCAAGAGAGAAAAAATGGTCACCATGGAATAATGCTGGCACATTCATTATTCACTGCAAGTGTACTAGCCAATACGACCATTCACGATGGGGTGAACAGATGTATCTGTACTACATGTACCTGGTACTTACTACGCGAGTACCGCAGCTGCACTTCATAATCAGCCAGCTGGAGGCACTCAGGAACATTCATAAGCTTGGTGGAAATCGATTCTTCTCCAGCCCATGGTGAGGATTGTGGAACCTTTATACCTTGACACCGTTCTACCGTACTGTACCACCGGTACCGTACCGGTACGGCTGTCGGATTGGGCGGAAAAGATACGGTTTTTGCAGTTCGTGATTCGTAATTCGTGACTCACAACTGTGACCGAAGCCACTCATTTTGAGGATTGTTCAAAGCAATCGGCAAAGCCAATGATCCAAACGGGACGATCACGGCATTAGCTTCATCGTATTCATTCATTCATTCACGATGAAGACTCTCGAAGACCTCCTGGATGCAGCCGATGCCCTGGCTGCTAGCAGTCAGGAAACTCCTGCCAGACCGGATTTTGCCATTCCCGACGAATTTTTATTGGCAAAGCAACAACTTTTGGAACAGAAAGAAACCAGTGATGGCAAAGGCACTGGGTGGTTTGCCCGTCAAGACATTCCTGCTGGAAGCCTGTTGATGGCAGCCAAGCCATTGGCCATGGTCATGTTGTGGCAGGAAGAGGAAGAAGAAGAAGAAAATGAACCAGATGAAATGGAAGAAGAAGACGAGGAGGATGACACTAGTATGATGAGAACGGAAAAATCAACACTCAATTCCATGCTGGTGGTGGAATTACTCCAAGCGATCCAGAAAAATCCAGACATATGGAACAATTCACTGAGTACCCTCTACCCACGCAACGAGGCGGACATGGCCAATTTGCCCATACGAGAATGTGCCAACCCAAAACTTAAATTGCAACAGGAAACACTCCTCCAGCAACTTGCAACAGCACAACCACAACTAGCAGCAACATCGGATACTATTGGAAAACGACTCCCCTTGATTGTACGATACAATGTGTTGAGTATCGAGACGTGCCCCGAGCTCTTATCGCATCCCGGGCCGGGCGGCCATGCCAATTTGGGAGGCGCGGGATTGTACCATTGGCCGTCCTTTTTCAACCACAATTCCGAGCGCCCCACGGTTGCTCGATGGGCCATTGGAGATGTCATGTGCTTTGTGGCCATTCGAGACATGGAGGCGGGCACGGAAGCCTGTATTAGTTATTTGGAACATGACGTACTCTGTGAAAGCGCGTATCGAAGGAATCTATTGCTGCAAATGGATTTTCAGGAGGATACAGCCAAAGCCAACAACACTGATGATGCCCAGGAGAATGACGAGGAAAATGGCCCCGATGCACCCGTTGTTGACTCGGAACTGCAAAATGAGCTCATGGAAACGAATGCCTTTGAACGACTCGATACGATTGAGCAGCTGCTGTTGCAGGCAAAGGGGATGCCACCGCCGGATGATGATGAAAACGACGACGACGACAATAATAATAATAATGATAAAGCCATGGTGGTGTCAGAAGACGAAGAAGAAGAATCAGGTGGTGGCTGTTGGTTCCAATGCGACATTCAAAATCTCAACATTCTAAAAGCCATTACACTGGATGGACTGGGTCAAACCACCAAAGCATTACAAGTGTGGGAAGAGTGTGTCGAATTTGCCGAGTCCAAGTTACCACCCCTCGATGAAAGCTCGGTGGTGGTGCGCGTACAAGCGGCACTTTGTGCGCTTCATCTCGGGGACACGAAAACGGCGCAACAACACGCCAACAAGGCTTTAGAAACACATGACAAGCTATTTTTGGGGGGTGGTGCGGCCCGACTGCGGCGACGGTTTCGCAAAGACTTGGAGTTGTGTCTGCGAAAACCCAATGGGAAGCAGCAGCAGCAACAATCACCAAAACAAGTTGCGGATATCCTCTGGCCAATCGCACCAGGTAGATAGTAGTTCTAATTTCTGCAAAGGAAGGACGCCTTCTTGAGCGCATAAAACTGTAACTATAGAACGTCAGGGAAACGTGATAGACATTATCGTGCTTAGTTTATTAGGAGGAAGGTTGAAAGGCACGAATGGTCCAATTGATCCGGTCCGATGTGGGGGGATCCATCGTCTTGCGGAACTTGGGGACTTCATGCTTGTGTGTTTCCTGGCAAGTGCCACCCATCAGGACCATGTCGCCATCCTCTAGCAACAGTTCGATCGGTTCGTCGGATATTATTATGTGGTTGTTGTTGTTGACTGCCGTCTTTTTCTTGCTCTTTTTGGGCCGCAGTAAAAAGCGTCGAGTTCCTCCCCAAGAGAGGCTCCAAATCGGAAAGGCTGCGTTCAAGCTTCGTTCATCGTCCGCGTGCAACCCAATGTGGTCATTGGGGGTGTACCAGTTCTGGAGACATCCATTATAAGGGCGCTCTTCTTGTGGTGTGTTGTTTTTAGCATTGTCCTCCTCGTCAATAAGAAGCAAGCCATTGATGGTATCCAACAAACTCCGAATCACGGTACTTTCTTCAATCGGTCTGGCAGCATTGACATTGCCACTATACTTGTAGGAGAAGCCCCAGGATTGACTCCAACGCTTCTCCAAGCAACTTTTTCCGTACACTTGAATTTCGTGCCGACTTTGGGGGTGGAGATTCCATTCCGCTAGAAAGGCGTCTCGAGAAGGCGTTGGTAACCACCGCTTGACATGAATCACCCAGGATTTTCCATCATGGGTCAGATAGGTTGGCGTTTGTCCCAATTTTTGACCTAGCATCTCCGCTTGTGGATCCGTTGGCAGAGTGGAGCATCTCCGCTTGTGGATCCGTTGGCAGAGTGGAGGTGTGCTGCTTGGAATTGGATAGGTCATCATGCAGTACTGGAGGCTCTGGAATTTCGCCAACGGGTGCTGTTCGCAATGTTTTCTTTTTCGGGGTCTCCTTGTTGGAGGGCGACCTGGCTGAGGATTGCCGTTTCCTGGGGTTACTACCATCGCTGCTGTTGTTGCTCATTGTGTTATATTCTTTTCTCGTTTGGTTGAATTGTGAGCTCCCACCAATGACAACATCTGTGAGATTGTGAGAGATCATGAAATCCTCAACAACCTGGAGGATCAGCCTGCTTCCAGACCTGCAAGGAAAGTAGAGTCCTCAACTGCCAAGAAATGAAATATCAAGGAGCAACAGTTGGGGAGTAAGTAGATAGTATAAAGGGTAATAGCTCACAATGTAGCACTCAAACCCTCACGCTTCCTCTGCGCATGCAATGCTACGTGCTTCGAGCAGCTCTTACACTTACTATAGTTTCTTGCAAGAGCACCTCGTGAGCCACTGGTCGACCTCAGTCAACCAGACAATATCAATCCCTCAAAATCCTTTCGATAAGAGGAACTGAAACATAACCTTTGATTACTCAAGGATAAAACAAACAAGATTTCGAGCTCCGATTCAGAAGACCAAGGTCAGTTTCCAGATAGGCAACAAAGAGCTTCGAGAAGGGCCGAACAGATCCAAGAAGCAGCCAGGCAACTCCAACGAACAAGAGACCGACTGCAAAGAAGAAGAGAGAGAGATCAACCCATCATGGATCCTGCCGCCATCCAAGCCCTGGTTCAAGCCGCGGTAGCAGCAGCGCTCCTGAATCCTGCGGTCATCAACGCGATACGACCTCCAGCGGCCCCTGCGCCCGTGCCAGTCCCTTTTTCGATCACACCTGCGGGAGCTGGTAACACTCCTTGGGACTTCACCTCTGCCAACGGCATCAAGATCTTCATGGCCTCTACGGCACCGCTCTCAGTCGCATACGATGGAAACGAGAACGGACTTCGTGACTTCCTACGCAAGATATTCCAGAGGGCAGAATCCTTCGGGTGGGTGGCGATACTGATGGTAAATGACGCGAACGGAGTCAGTCGCGACATCACAACCCAACACGGATGCCTCAAGCTTGAGGACGTACAGGCCCACGCGATCACGTACCTTCGTCTTCAACAGAGAGAACATCAAGCCTCAGCTTGTCTTAGAAAGCTCCTCCTCGGATCACTTGTCCCCAAACTTGCTGACAGGCTATCCACTCGCAGCGAAAACTACACCGTAAATGCTGCAGCTGCAGCGCAGCAGAATCAACCAGCACCAGCCCCCATTATGAAGGAAGATGGCACTTGTATGCTGTTCGAACTCATCAAGATGGTGTCAGTGGACACCAGAGCAACAGTGACGATCATCAACAAGAGGCTCAATAACCTCGAATCGGTCATGGAAGAAGTCAAGTCCAACGTCGAGGAATTCAATGCTGCAGTTGATGACTTGATCTCCCAGTTGGAAGCAAGGAGCGTACCGGTTCCTCCTATGCTAGAGAACCTCTTCGATGGTTACTCCAACTGTGCCGACCTCAAATTCGTCAAGTACATCGCTTGGAAGCAGATTGCTTATGAGGATGGAACCATCGACCTGGACCATACCGAACTCATGAAGATTGCTCTCGAAAGGTACAAGGTCCTCGTCGATCGCAAGCTATGGCTGAAGAAGACAGAACAGGAGATGGAAATCCTCACCCTCAAAGCCGAGATCGTGGAGCTCAAGCGTCCAGGATCCTCAGCAAAGAAAGCTGGAGCTGCCAATCCTGGCAAAGCAACTCCTGCCAAAGGAAAGACTGACGACAAGTATGCTTGGAAGCAGATCGCTCCCAAGGATGGAGAGGCTCAAGAGAAGACGGTCGGTGGGAAGGAGTATGTTTTCTGCCCTCATCATAATACCACCAAGTGGGTTCTCAAGGTCAACGACAAAGGAATCGTCCATCGCACTGGCTGTACTAAGATGAAGGAAGCCCAGGCTGGCTCATCGGCTGGTGGAAAGAACAAGACATCGGCGGCAGCCCTCGCAAACGCCTTCGAAGGAGATGATGAAGAAGAATCAGATAGTGAGGAGGCGCTCTGATGGTGGCCGAGTAGAGCACCAATAGTCACCTCCATACTTTGTAATCACTCTAGTGACCAATGTGTGTACGTACTGTACTCTCTACTCGTAGCCATAGTCAATTTCGTGGTGACCGTCCAAGGCATCAAGGCTCAGATCGTCCAAGGACTCCTCAAGATAGAAGAAGCTCTAGACAGAGAAACAGAGGAACAGCAGACAGCTGGTATCCTCGCATTGATGGCGATCAACAACAAGGAAGGCGTAGCGTCGGCAGTAGCCGGATTCAGCCAACATTGGATGTCATGGGTACTCCTGATCACGATAGCTGATCACCCAGTGCGAGTTGCATCAAGACTCGCCGTCATCGTGATTGGGCTGTCGATCGACGCGACGATGATAGCCATCGCAGGCACGCAACTCGGATCAGCATTCCTGATCATCACCCTGGCAATGCAATCGCTACTGTCTTGGGCGTCCAAACCTCGCGTTGCTCCCCCTTACGTGCCAAAGAGAATCAGACGCAGACCCTCGGTCATCAAGTCGATGGTGACCACGGCCCTTAGGTCGATGGCGGAGGCAGTCTTGTCAGTAGCACTCACGGCAAGATTGCTCTGCCAGCTGACTGATCTTTCGATAGCCGAGTCAGCGGCAACAACAAGTGTCTCAAGCAGTACTAGAGATCTGCCAAGGCAACACGTGGATGAGCCGTTTCTTGACCAAGACACGGACGACGAGGATGGCCCATACACGGAGAAAGCCAAGAGATACTCCAAGCACAAGCCCAACGTCAGGATGCTGTGGGACATCACTCCACCACAAGACAGGTCGGAGCCAACGGTACTGCAGCTCTTCATCAGATTCCTTCTCTTGCTCAAGGGCGGACTCGAGATCTCAGTCTCAGAAGGAAATCCGCTGGTAGCATACCAAATGGTTCTGATGTCGTTGTCCAGTCGAATCAACAGGAGTGCAGTCGATCACCAGTATGACACTGACTCCATCCTCATCGCCATAGACAACTGCTCGTCCAGGTGTATCACCAACTCCATGCTCGACTTCATAGACACCCCCGTCAAAGTAAAGGTGTCGGTACAAGGAATTGGAGGATCAGTGATGGCAACGTACAGAGGCACAGTCAGATGGGCGATAGAGGATGATCAAGGGATGGTGCATCAGTTTGTCATACCCAACACCTACTACAATGCGTCCACACCTTACAGACTCCTCTCGCCACAGCATTGGTCCAAGGTCAGGAACGACAACTCACCTCAGAAGAGAGGGACCTGGTGTGCCACCTATGACGACGCAGTGGAACTGTTCTGGGATCAAAGGAAATTCAAGAGAGTCATTCCGCTCTCTCCAACCAACAATATAGCCATCGTGAGGAGTGCTCCAGCATTCGACGCCCTCTATGCGTACTGCCATGAGGTGTCCACCGAAAATCCAGGACACGATGGTTCTTTTGACGAGACAGAGTTACTGTCTTGTCCGGCAATGGCTGTGTCCGATGACGACCAGTCAGTCTCATCGTCCGACGAGTCGCAGTCCGAAGGTTCCGATGACGAAGAGCCTGTCATTCGTCCACATCCAGATCTCCCACCGCGAGTACGCGAAGAAAAGGAAGAGTCCGAGAGATTCCAACAGAAGATGACGGATACCTTCAAGATGGGTGGTCAGCTGGGAAAGGTGGTACAAATTCCCATCGATGACCACAAGTACACAAAGTACAAAGATCCATCGGCTCAGCTCCTGGCATGGCATTACAGACTCGGCCACCTTTCATTCCAGAGGATTAGGAAGTTGGCTGAAAGGGGCGATCTCCCATCGTATCTGGGAAAGGCAAGAGCGCCGCAGTGCTCAAGCTGCATGTTCGGAAAGGCAACGAGAAGGCCATGGAGGACTCGAACTCCGCCGAACCAAATCCAGGTGCCATCTGCCACGTCCCCTGGAGCAGTGGTAGCAGTGGACCAGCTGATATCATCTACAGCTGGATTCGTCGGACAGATGAGGGGGATTCTCACACGGAAGAGGTATACAGTGAGTACGGTCTTCGTTGACCACTACAGTGGCCTCTCATTCGTTCACTTCCAGACATCCACATCGGCGGAACAGACGATTCTCGCCAAGAGAGCTTTCGAGAGATATGCGCAGTCGTTCGCAGTCTCCGTGAGGCATTACCATGCCGACAACGGCATCTTCGACAGCAAGGCCTTTGTTGAGGAAGTGCATAAGTGTGGTCAGACGATCACGTATGCAGCAGTCAATGCTCACCATATGAATGGGCGAGCAGAGAAGAAGATTCGCGACCTGCAGGAGGCAGCAAGGACCATGATCCTGCATGCGAAACAGCGGTGGCCGGTAGCCATCACGGCAAACTTGTGGCCATACGCAGTCAGGTACGCAAATGACATTGCGAACGAGACCCCAGTGCTCAAAGGAACTGGTCACGTGTCTCCCATGGAGTTGTTTTCATCTGTGGATGTAGCGCCCAAGGTCAAGAACACGCACACGTTCGGTTCTCCAGTCTACGTCCTCGACGCGAGAGCTCAGGAAGGAAGGGCGATACCAAAATGGGAGCACAAGTCGAGGATTGGCGTGTATCTGGGTCTGTCGCCGAGGCACTCGAGAAAAGTGGCATTGGTGCTGAGCTTGCAAACGGGGTTGGTATCGCCACAATTCCACTGCCAGTTCGACGACCTGTGTGATACTCTCAAGAAGTCATCTGGGAACCCAGTGCCACCGTCGAAGTGGCAAGAGAAAGCTGGTCTTGTCGGACCACAACGAAATGAAGTCCAGCCACCATCGTCGACTGTCGAAAGAAGAAGAAGAGTACAGATATCGACGGATGCGTTGAACGACGGGAATGATCCGATCACGGATCGCGTGCGCGATTCGGAACGCAATCGGACGCGCCATCAACAAAGAGGCGAAAATGACGACGGAACGATAGTTCCAACGGAGCATCAACAACTACAAGATGATGACGACGAGTCGCTGCAGCAACAGCTACAGCAACAGGACGATGCGCTACAACAACCGCCAGTTATCACTAGGTCGGGGCGCACAGTGCGACGAGCGAACAGGCTCATCGAGGAGATGGAATCGTACTCAGCCATCCCATGGGAAGTCTTCCACGATGAGGGGTACGCGATTCAAGATGAGATGCAGGATCCCATCGCCTTCGCGGCATCATCCAACCCAGACATCCTGTACATCGATGACGCAATGAAAGCCCAGGACAGGATCCAGTTTCGGGAGGCCATGGTCAAGGAAGTCAGCTCTCACACGGATTGGAAACACTGGCAGGTCGTCAAGAAATCATCGATGCCAGCAGGAGCTCCGCTACTACCCGCGGTCTGGGCATTCAGAAGAAAGAGACGGATAGCCACTCAGGAGATCTACAAATGGAAGGCTCGTCTAAACGTACATGGTGGCAAGCAGACCAAGTTTGTCAACTACTGGGAAACATACTCTCCGGTAGTTGGATGGTCCACCATCCGCACCTTCCTCATCTTGATGTTGATAAACAAATGGAAGTCTAGACAAGTCGATTTCGTGCTTGCCTTTCCACAAGCCGATATCGAATGCGAGATGCACATGGAGATCCCCAAGGATTCTACATTGATGAGAGAACGGGAAAACCCGTCTTGCAACAAGGACAAGGGAGCAAGAGATACAGGGGCGACTACTGCCTACTGTTAGAAAAGAACCTTTACGGTCAAAAACAAGCAGGAAGAGTCTGGAACCAGTACATGCATGATGGCCTGATAGCGAGGGGTTTTCATCAGAGCGACGTCGACATGTGCGTGTATTACAGAGGGTCCGTCGTCCTGCTGGTATATGTCGATGATGGTATCTTCATAGCACCTGACGAGAGATCGATTGACGACGCCTATGAGTCTCTGTCCAAACCGTTTACAGACAAAGATGGGAAGGTATTCCGAGCACTGAACATGACGAACGAGGGTACACTCTCTGATTACCTTGGCGTCAAGATGGAGCCACTTGAGAACGGAACCATCAAACTGTCCCAGCCACACTTGATCAAACAGATCCTCGATGATCTAGGAATGGCAGAGGGGGTCACCAAGTCGCAGCCAACACCAGCGGCTTCGACAGTCCGACTGCACAGGGATATTCACGGAGAGGACATCAAACAGGAGTGGCATTATCGAAGCGTGATTGGGAAGATGAACTTCCTGGAGAAGTCTACCAGAATGGACATCGCGTATGCCGTACACCAGTGTGCCCGGTTCTCGTCCGAACCAAAGGAGTCGCATGCTGCAGCAGTCAAGAAGATTGGGCGCTATTTGGTGGGCACCGCGGATAAGGGAATCATCCTCAATCCACAAAGCTGTTCTTTCGACGTGTTTGTGGATGCAGACTTCGTGGGCAACTGGAACCGAGCCACGTCAGACGTAGATCCAAGCACGGCACGATCCCGTACAGGATTTGTCGTGATGTATGGTGGATGCCCAGTCGTATGGGCTTCGAAGCTACAGAAAGAAGTGGCCCTTTCTACCACGGAAGCAGAGTACAACGCCATGTCGGAGGCTCTGCGCGACACGATCAACCTGATGCAGCTTATCGAGGAGTCAAGGAAAGTGTTGAAGTGGAAGACGCACGACAAGCCACCAGTAGTACATTGCAAGGTTTTCGAGGACAACAGTGGAGCCCTTGAGATGGCAAGGATGCCAAAGATGAGACCTAGAACAAAACACATCGGGGTCAAGGTCCACCACTTCAGAGATCACGTACGATCAGGCAAGATAACAATCCACAAGATACCAAGTCGTTATCAGTTAGGAGATATGGCTACTAAGCCACAGCCCGTGGAACTATTCGAGTTCCAGAGAGAGTGCATCATGCAGTGGCTAGCCGAGGAGATGACACGGCAACAACTCTTGCAGCCAGGAAAGCATCTGAGGGCGTGTGAGATTGTGAGAGATCATGAAATCCTCAACAACCTGGAGGATCAGCCTGCTTCCAGACCTGCAAGGAAAGTAGAGTCCTCAACTGCCAAGAAATGAAATATCAAGGAGCAACAGTTGGGGAGTAAGTAGATAGTATAAAGGGTAATAGCTCACAATGTAGCACTCAAACCCTCAAACATCGCCTTCGCTTCGCAAACGTGCACGTCTGCGATCTTGTCGGGAAGATCTTTCCCCTCGAGGAAGTGGCTCCCAATAATTCATGCTTGTCATTGTGACAATGGATATCGATCTACTAGATCTACTACTCAAGTATGCAGTTGGACACCGAAGGGTTACGACGACGACGAGGCGGGAGAAGGCAAGGAAAGGAAACAGCATCCCATGGTCGATTTTGACTCTGCTTCCCAAAGTTAGTTGTGATTGGTGATTGATGCAAAACGCCAGCGGAGTTGGGAAACAGCCACTGGTGGAGGGTGGAGGGATATCTGGTATCTTAACAAGCCGCAGATCAAGAACCGAAACAGCTCCTACCGGTAGTACGTACAGCTCGTTCCTGATTCCCTACGCTAGTCTAGCTACCGTAGCAGACTGGTGGGTAGCGTACGGTACGTATGATACCGGTACAGGTAGAGGTACCGGTACGCCTACCATACCATACCATACTAGCTAGCTACTGTAGCTAGTACATACTCTTGCCACAAACTCGGCTATTTTCAGAGACAAAGTTGGCTCAAGGAGTGAAAATCAGTGCTTGCCTCTTGAAAGAAGCTACTACCCTAGTTACGAAGGTACATGTAGTTCATGTAGCACATGCTGTATATGCTTGGCTTGAAGAATTTAGCATTTCAACCGACCAGCTGAGCCTGTCATGCCTCAATCAGGAACAACAGGATGGATGCTGTCTCCTCCTCTCATGATCGCCTGCATTGAATTGGATGGGAATTCCGCACAGTCTTCCTCCTTGCTGGCTCTGGATTGATGCACTCTACTAGCTACTAGCTAGGCTAGCTACACAATAGATTTCATCGAGGATGCTTCAAAAGTCACTTCATTGGCTTGCTATTGACTTCAACACTTCAACACATCGCAGCGCGTTCCGAGTTCCAAAGCTGCTGTGACTTGATGCTGTGACTTGAAACATGCTTTCCAAGTGTGAATGGGCCAAGAAACTCTCTCTACGCACACGGAGGAAGTTGTTACCACGTTACCACCCAGCTGCTACATCTTGAGAGGGAGTTATCCGGCCATGGTGCGTCGGTTGTCGGTTCCAAGAGGTGAAATGAATGAGGTGCCAAGATTCAATAGTAAAGCCCACCCTTTCGCAAGAATAAGATGATGGAGGCCTAACTCTGGAGTGCGTTTTGAGCATGAACTCCGCGCTCTCTCTGGTTAGTCTGGCTAGCTAGTAGGGCTTGCAAGCCCAAGATCTGATGGGAATTATGTACATGTATGTGATGGTTGGTACCGGTATGGCATGTACCACAATGTGCCAGTGGGCATTGAGTCTATCACGTGATGCCGAGCATCGCTCTACTAAGTCCAGCCTAGCTAGCTAGAGAGCTGTCAAGAGCTATGGAGCCAGCGATCAGATAGATGAAAGATGAAAGAGCGGTGATTACGTGATTACCTTTCCCGATCCCGAGGTGATGGGAAAGTGGAAAGGTGAAAGCGGCAAGACTGATCAGGCTCCTCGGCACTAGAAGGACTCTCTGGATCATTGAAAGCTTTGAAAACAAGTAAGTACTGCGCCACTGACAGATTGGTTAAAGAGGCCTCGAGGATGCACGTGTAGCGCCGGTTCCACGCAGTGACCAGGCCAACCTGTGATGGCTGCGGGTCGTGGCTACAGCGTAGCTAGTCCGTAGCCATAGACTGGAGAGCTGACTGGAGTACTGGTACGAAACATGTAAAACGAAAGAGCTACGCCATGGTCGGCCACTGACTAGAGAGAGCTAGTTGTGCGGGAACGTGTGTGAGCGTTGTAAGAACAGATGCAATCAAAATAAACAACTAAGCAAAGCAATGATGCTTATATCCGTTTCTTGAAGAAGTGAGAGGACACAAAACTAAAGCCAATGCAACCCTCAGCATCGCACAGAAACCTCTTCGATTGCTTGATGTGCCGAGTGCCGAGGACCTGCTTGGACTCGTTTGGACTGGATACTCTCGGTTGCCAAAAAAAGGGGGATGCGAAAGTTCAATTGGACGATGGAGGATCGCACGGCACAACGCTATTTCGTGGAAGCTGACCATCCAGTTTGGCCAAGAGCCGATCCAAGAGCCGATCCAAGAGCGACAATGGTTTTGACAAGGGCTCTAACTGTGGCTGAACAGTACATCCAGCAAGGAGTTTACCAAAGTTTACCTTAGATAGATAAAATTAATACATCCAATCCCATCCACTGAGGACTCACTCATTGATATAGTCAGATCTTCCCCCACGCTTTAGTTGATGACTGGTAAGCACAAGCTGCAAAGGCCCAAAAATGTTCCTCCGGAGCTCTCCGGCCACTAATTAAGGGCTTCGGGTGTGCCTCTATCTCCTTGCTATGGTCCTGGATTGAAGTACAGTCAACGCTCGCTTATATTTATAATCTTGTATTTATTCGCTCTATAATATTTAAGAATACTCCAGTTCCCACATTTTTAACTCTAACCCTATTTTAGTACTAGAGCACGTACAATTCTACGGGAATAGTTAGGGTTAGGGATAAAATCAATATTTATTCTCGCTGTTATATTTACTGAATTCCTGAATCCCCCCCAGTATATATATCTGAATGTTGACTGTATGTGGCTTTTTAAGGCGACACTCGGTACTCAGAAGGGGATAACTTGGACATTATCGTTAACAAATTGTCCGGATCAGTTCTTGCCGGTCTCTGAGAAGATCCTAAAGGAGCCACATGGAGTCCAATCGGGTCCTTAATTCTCAGGGCCTCTCAATTGCCTGGCATTTGGGAATCCGAGAGTCTTCAGTGGATCAGCGGATGATGTACTGGGATCGATGGCGCAGCTATGGCATCATGTCCATTAACCGTTAACTCTCTGAGTTGGTAGAACTTTTGTTTTACTTATTGAAATTGTTTGTACTAGTTGCTGTATAGTGGTGACCGAAAACTGCATACCCGACTTCGCACAGTAAGGGCAACAGTATTAACCAATCGTCAGAAGCGAACAGTTGAGGTGCATGCAAGTTCCCATGAATTCCGAAAGGTTGCTTGGTAACGACATTGCTAGCTCCACGTGCGGGGCTACGTGGTTTTGTACCAGAGTCGGTGAGTTTCGGTGAAGAGAAATGTAAGAGCCAGCAAGCCCCACCCAAACCAACAGCCTGTCTACCCGAACTGGTCGAGCGAGTCCTTGGGATCAGCATTCCATCAGCATCTTGCTTGCCAGGAACTCCATTGCTACGCTTGCTGTTGAATGTATTAGTCACCTTACGAGCACCCAAAGAAAGAACAGGCAGCATCAACTTGGCAGCCACCCACACACCCAAAGCAGAAGGATCAATTCGATAGATTGATTTCTTGGTCACCACCATAGATAGTTACTGAGTGAGTTCCAGTAGTAGTTGACAAACGGAGCCACCAACGGACCGTTCGCACTCTCTTCACACTCGAAGGTCCACCGCAGTCCATTCAGTTCAGTTTGGCTTGTACGACACGAGCCCATAGTTTCAGCGTCCTCCATAACAACGACCATACAAGCATGTATGTCTCTCACAACTCTGACGAAGACTTCAAGAAGAAGCAGTATACGGATCCGGGAGACGCTCCGCCGCCACGGCAAAAGCAGCCTCCGCCGCCCAGTCAATACCGATTGAAAGATCAGCCACGCAACAACAACACGACAACAACCTCCATGGTTCCCTCGGTCTGGCTCTGGTTGGCCGACGACGAGAGCTGGGAACGATTCGACGAACAAGAAACGTCCGTAATCATGACAGCAGTCGGCAAAGGTCACAAGGGCGCTATTCTTCAACGCGGCTCCGTCGCCTACTTTCTCGATCTGCTGCGGTTAACGCAAACCAACGCAGTGACCGGACGACGACGACCCATTTACAGCGTGCAAAAGGGAGCCAACTGGTTGGTACAGAGTGAATCGTCACCCAAAGGAGACGGTTGGATTCCCTTTACGCACAAGGAGACGCTTCAACTGGAAGAAGCCTTCTTTGCCGGAAGCGACTTTTCGGTGGTCAACCGCGACAATGGGAGTGCGTGTTACGTCGATCTCGCCAAGTGGACGTTGACCTGTCTGAGTACCAACGCTACTTGCTTTATCAAGATCACACCCAACACTGCTGCGGCCAACGACCAAACGCAGCAATCGTCCGCAGCCAAGTCTCAACAACAACAACAACACTACAAAGACCAGCACTACAAGAGCAGTCAACCGCAACAACAACAACAACATTACAAGGATCAACACTACAAGACCGACCGCTCCACATCCAGTTCACCGGCGGAAGACGACTACGACGCGTCTTACTACGGTCAACAACAGATAATAGTCAACAACAGTGACAATAGCAACCGAAAGAATCGAGCGTCCTGGAGATGGCACAACGACAGTCACTCATGGACCAGTTACAACGATGAGATTACAGATGCCATTGAACAGGCATGGGCTACGGGGGCTAACGATCTGGTATTCGTTCACGAGAACACACAGTATTACGTCGATCTGGCAAACCTCACACAGACCAACATTGATACGGGATACACACGACCCATTCAACGAGTATCACAGCGCAAGAAATCAAGTGTCTATTAAAAAAGCGATTGCTTGCCTGCTTTTTCCCTACCGCTGCCACCCCCCTTGTTCTATTACATCTCTACCCTTTCATTTGATATTATCATAGACCACAATCATACTCTCTCTAACAATCTTAACTAGCGAGTAAGCTGCTACATTACATCTCAATGTCTATCTCTAGCTAGCTAGCTGCGGAACAATTATCATGCCCAACTAACTTGCTCTAGCTAGATCGCGACAAAGATACCTCACACACAAATCATCTTAGCTAGCTAGCTACTAGGCAACGAGCCGATATCCGCCGCAGCACCTCTCTGGCCAGCAGCAAGCTAACAAGATCTTGGACATCGCCAACCTTGGCTTCTACTAGCTAGCTAGGACCGTGCCAGGACTTCTGCTAGAACAATTCCTGGGCAGTCCTCAAAACGCTTGTCGACGCTTTGAAATTACAAGTTGAAACAACCAAAGGGGCATGCAGATCCAAGCCAATCCTCATCATTGCAGGCCTACTCCTAAAGCCTAAAGCGCTTTTGATTTCTCCGCCAAAGTCCACACGCATCCAATCCAAGTTGATGCTGACTACTGACTAGTCTAGTACTTGACTTTAGCACATAGTTATCACGTTGGCCATCACCTTTCCTCACGGCATAGGTTTTACATGGTGTTCATTGCTTGGGTTTTACAAGATGTTCCTCTGGGAAGAGGGAAAATGGTTCTTTTCGTGGTCCCTCGAATGGCTAATGAGGGCTATTGATTGTCTAAAGAGGTCAAAATTTGTCCAAGTTCAGAAAGGCGGAATTGGCTTGGTTGTTTTATTGACCACGGTTGACCACGCCTGACCACGATTGACCACCCCTGACCACGCATGACCACACTTGACCACGCTTCACCACAATTTCCACTAGTAATTAACTAGTAAAAGACCGCGGCTGACCACGGTTGACCACGGCTGACCACACTTGACCACGAGTGACCACGGCTGACCACACTTGACCATGGTCAATTGTGGCGAAAGTGACAGTTTAGCTTGAAAGTCGGACTTTTATGGTCAAAGATGGTCAAAGCATGTCCAATCCGGTCTTGGTTTGGAGCGCCACGGTCTCTTTTTCCCTCTTCCCTGCTCCAACTCCAACATGTAGCTACTACCAGTACCGTGCAGCTGGAAGGTCGAGGCCACTTGCTTGACCCAGAGCCAAAAGCCACCACCAAGCAGCCACTCAGGATGCACACATACAAGTATGTTAGCTAGCGCTAGCTTACATGCGAGCTACTCCTGAAGTGGCTCAGTTGCCTACCACTGTTGAGTGGCTTAAACTAGCTACATGTACGTAGACAGGAAAGTTCCGCAGGCAGTACCACCGCACCGGTAGCCTGATCTCCAACCTCACTACTGTGCATGCAGCCATGTACTGGTTGTGATGCTGCAAGAAGAAGGCGGTACTAGCTAGTACCGGTACACCACGCACACGGCAGCCAATAATGATGGATCTACTCGGAGTTCAGTGATCGGAACGGTACAGTATGTCATAAGCTATGTCATACCGGTACAGTCGTACTAGTAGGTGTTCTCTCTGTTGGTGCCCAGTGGCGCTCTCGTCATCGAGAGCGAATGAAGTGTACTTCTGAAGAACTACTTGTAGTTCTGCGATCTCATTGAACCAGGACTGGACTCTCGACTCGGACCGGTAAGTCAAAGAGCTCCGCACCACTGAGATCCACGAGACTCCTACCTGGTAGTCTATAGGGGTACATGCACCAACTTCCTCTTCTTGAACGGTGACTAGGCATCTCCAGAGATGACTGGTGCCACAACAGCGAGGCTCGCGTCGCTGAGAGCTCAAAAGTTATGCACAAGTGCCACCAGACCCAACCAAGGGCACAGAGCCGATATTGCAATATCTAGCTAGATATTGCAATTGAAAGCTCTTGAAAGAACGACTAGCTAGCTACTACTAGCTAGCTAAGAACTACCTCTCCAACAGTTACTGAGCTGTACTCCGAGTATCAATTTGAGTGGTTACACGAGCTGTGGCGTTCTTCGCTGCAGCAGCTGGAGTGCAAGCCTACAGCTAAGCCAACACAGCAAACCTAAGCATCCAAAATGCCGGCGTTCTGACCGTGTTGTTTTGGTTGTTCGTCAGTGGAAATTTATGGGAAAATGGAACCTTTGAAGTACCGGTGCTCCACACAAGTAGAAGAACGTTCTGCCAAGACTTTAATTGATGGTTACAATCAGCGATGTGTTCTGTACCACTAGCTAGCTAGTAGCTTCTTTTGGGCATTGGCAATCCTCAGCCCTGATTTAATCCTGATAGCTATCCTGATGCTGTCTGATACATGCTGCCCTCAGTCCAGCGGAATCAGCACTATAAGCTGCACCAATCCGCAATCTAAGATCAACATCCATCTTCAACTCGTTCGCTAGACTAGTACGGCTGTAGATGATGGCTACCGGTAGATGCCTTGAGTAGAGAGATGAGAGTCTGGAGGGTTCCGGCGACGTTGGTCTGGGGGTGGAAAGCCCTTTCAATAATTCCAACTTGGAGCTTTGCAAGGCTTCTTGCTTCTTGGATCTTTGCCGGGGATCAGGCGTTCCAGGATCCAGGATGCTTCAGTGATTAGATTTCAAGCCCTACTTGCACCTTTAATAGCTACCATTGGCCATTAGCAATCCAGCGTACCGGTACCGGTACCCGTTCTGGGTACCTAAAATCAAATAGCCGGCTCCAGGTTTTGCCTCACATGGATCTACCGGTAGCATACGATCTGACTTAGCTGAGTCTGGCAGCCCAGGCAGCCACTGTGGTTCGAACTTGACTCTTGGAAATACCCGAGCCTCGGCTCGTGGGTCGTCCTCAAGCACAGCTTGTCTGAATCGAATCGGTTAATAGACTTTGATTTTTTTGTGGTTCCCATTAGGTTAGTATTTATTCCTTTCTCGAGGTAGGTAGCTGGCTGCTCTGGAGAACTACATGTACCTTGCAGCCTTGCGGAAGGGATAATTGTCTTGGGCACTACTCTGGCTACTAGCTAGAGACTAATAGAAGGGTTTCATGGGGATCAACCCGACCATGGGGTGTCCTTCACCCTCGAACCTGTGTACCTCTCCCCGTACCGGTGGTATCAGGTTATGGGCTCGCCGCAGGAAAGGATCTTTGTTGACAGCCTTCGGATGTTTTCGTCAAGTTTTGTATCTCATTATTGTTTTGCTTTTTCATAATATTTAATGAGACCACCATGGCGACGACCGCAGATGCCTCTTTACCCACCCTGACCGAGTCTGTCGACTCTTGGAAAGGCTCCAGTTTACTCTCAGTGACACAGATTACACCGGCAGGTCTGCAATTGTTGTTTGATGTCAGTCAAGGAATGCGACAGATTGTTCGCACACAGGGAGGCGACGATCGGTTACAGCACCGCCTTCTCGGAACGGTCTTTTACGAAGCATCGACGCGAACATCGTGCAGTTTTCAAGCTGCCGTGATGCGATTGGGTGGCAAATTCATTCATGTGGATGGACAGGGCAATTCGTCGGCCAACAAAAAGGGAGAATCCCTGGAAGATACCATTCGATGTTTGGAATGTTACACCGATGCCACCGTACTGCGACATCCCGTCCACGGCAGTGTTGGACGAGTCATTCAAATGGCCACCAAGCCCGTGTTGAATGCGGGAGATGGAGTGGGAGAACATCCGACGCAGGCATTGTTGGATGTATTCACCATTCGAGATGAATTAAAAATTACCAACAATGACAAACCAAAATTGACCGTGGTACTACTGGGAGATTTGAAACACGGTCGTACCGTTCATTCCTTGGCGAAACTATTGGCGCAATCCCAAATGACGGCACAGTTGACACTGCAGTACTGCTCCCCGCCCGGATTGGAAATGCCACAGACAGTACAAGACTTTGTGGCAAAATATGACAATGTCACACAACAATACGTCACCAATCTGGCAGAGGTGGTGGCAACTGCCGACGTGCTTTACGTGACACGGATCCAACGAGAACGATTTGCATCCGATGATGCCTATGAACAAGTCAAGGGATCCTATGTGGTCAACAATGAAATTATGAGTCAAGCCAAATCCTCCATGATTGTCTTGCACCCGTTGCCGAGGGTCGATGAAATTGCCACCGAAGTAGATGCGGATCCTCGAGCAGCATACTTTCGACAAATGGAAAATGGCATGTTTGTTCGGATGGCCCTCTTGGCGTTGGTCCTGGGGGTTGCCCAGAAATAATAAAACACAAGTGAGGGCGGTTCATCCATTGTTTGTTTTTTGGACGTAAACTCTACTATCTACATGATTAGAAAATGTACACTTTGGAACTTACATTGGCTTGAATGGAATGAATCAAATTCTCCAATGTAAATTCTCCAATGTTCATTCCATCCATGGGCAACCATTTTCAGATGCATACAGTACTACCGTAGTACTGTAGAACCTCCAAATGGTCATATTTTGAAGCACCAGCACACGTAGGTGTCTCCAGCCAAAAGAAGACGGCGATTCTCATGATACATCCATGTACATGAGCACTTCCACATACATGACCACTTCCTGCAGCGCGCAGATCGTCCAGTTCGAAGGCTCCCAAAGCCAATTTTTTATCTCGCCTGTTTACAGCTCTGCTGGCGTTTTCAATGCGTCGCTGCAGCGTCGTGACTGGCACGGCACCGAATGACGCCGAAGCTCCTGCCGTCGAAATACGCTCATCAAAAGAACAAGTAATTGTCTTCCTCTAATAGTGAGCGCTTGTCGTACTGGTAGAGTAGTAACTGTTCTTCTTATTGTGTCTCCAAAACGAACAAAGATGGCTCAAGACGAGGAACGGTATTTCTGGATGTGGTACGGGGACCACGGAGCGTCGTGGACTCCGTTTGATTGGGATGGCACGGCCCAATTGGAAGAGGCTCGCAAGGCTGGCACTCCCAAGGTGTTGATTCGAGGCACGTTCTATCAAGTCGACGTAATGGCCATGGAACAAGTCAATTTGCAGAGTGGATTTTCGCGACCCGTCATGAAAGTGGAAGCTCGATGGTACTGGCTAGATGACGATGGTCGTTCGTGGCATTGTTACAAGCAAGAGGATGCTTTGAAATTGGCGTTGGGACAATTGGCAGTGGAAGAACTCGGGCCCCATTGCGGCGTGCATGTGGTCCAACTGCAATTTGGACATGTCATTTACGAAGTGGATTTGGTACGGCGAAAACAGAGAAATGCTGCCACGGGAACCGAACGAGATGTGCATCAAGGATGTCCTCGATCACTGCGTCAACTGCATCGGTCTCTGGTAGTAGACGACATTTCGGCTGCGGCGATTCAGCAACAACTCATTCAAGAAAACAGCAGCCATAGTCACAATTCTTCTTCCTGTCGAAACAACAACAACAACAACAATTTATCCACATCCTTTCGCAAAAATCCTTCGTTGCGAGAAAACGGCCTTCGGCAAGTGGTCGAAGAGGTTGCCAATGCATCGCAGCAAACAGGCGGAAATGTCATGATGGACACGACTTCGACCATCACTTCAATCAACCAACAAGAGGGCCATGCGCCTTCCGAATCGCTGTGCTCCTGCTTGACGAGACTGTTATTGGGCCAGAACACGGACGATGATGGAGAAGAAAATGACACGGATCCATCACAGCAGTCCGCAAAGAACAACAACAAACAATCCTCCCTGATTAGCAACGGTAGTAGCCATGTTCAAGAATCGCCTCTCTCGACGCCACCACCACCGCCACAACCACAAGCTGTGACCACTACTACTAGCCCGCAAAATTTCAATTCACCACAACAAGCACCACCACCGCCTGCAGCATCACCGCCTCCCACTCCCGAAGAGGCACCACCGCCATCTCGAGGCTTTACCGAAGAATACGCACGGTCCAAAGATATCCAAGACACTGTCAAAGTGGTGTGTCTGGGTCTCAACAATACTCACAAATCATACCGCAATCCAACCAACGCACAAGGAGAAATGGGGGTCCATCAGTACAGTTGGGGCCTAAAAAGCACGGACGACGAGGAAAAGGCCGTCTTTTGCAGTGTGTTTGATTTTGTCGGTCAAAATATCCATCATGGCATTTCCAAACTATACTTTACTCCACGATCCGTCTATGTTATTGTGTGGGATTTGGGTGCATCCAACCCATTCACATTTCCACGAAACAATCATCATAGTTTTGGACTGGAACCCGCCAAGGTGGCATTGGAACGAGATATTTTTGAACACGTTCAATTCCTTGTCGATGGCATCCACAAACATGCACCCGATGCGGTCATTTTGCCCGTGGCGTCGTTGGATGGATCCTTTCGTACGGCTCCAACAAAGCAGGAATCGACAACGACGACAACACACAACACGACTACGACTAGCATGGACGAAACCGAAATTCATCGACGGTGCCTGTTTCTAAAGCAGTACTTTCAGGAGGAACAACGAAAAACGCAATATGGGGATATCATTTTTGGACCGGATGAAGACCCATTACTGCTGCTGGGTGGCGCACAAAAAGCTAGAAGCAAAAAAGCGCCCCATGAAGAGAGACTCGATGGACTGAAACGAAAGCTGATTGAGCTCTCCAGTGACTCGGATCTATTCCCCGATCTTGGGGAAAACATCTCTTCCCGGTTCCATCAGGTTCGTACGGCAGTCAAACGGTTGTCGCAGGACGGCACGAACGTTGTGCAGGTGGATCAGCTTTACCATGGAAAGGGACCTGGCATCGAAATGGAAGTCTTCAAAGCCCTGCAGTGGCTGTCGAAAACGGGAGAAATTCTATACTATGATACCAATGAGCAATTACAGGGCTTTGCGATATTGAATTTGAAGTGGCCATTGAAAGTCATCAATTCTCTTATGGGTCCTAGTAGGGACCTGCGAACGACAGTCGAGTTGGCCAGGAGGAATACTCCAGACGGACCCCAGAACACGGATCCTTTGCACTTTGGTCCTGTGGCATCCATGGATGACATTGCAATGCTTTGGCGAAAAGTAATCCAGGTGGAATGCGACAATTCTGAAACCGATGTGCTCTCGGATTACATGCGAGTATTGCTGACGTATGTTTCCGTGATGGTCCCACTCGAGATCAGCAACAATAATCCTCCCAACCGAAAGATCTTCTTCATCCCAGGCTTTCTTGGTTCTGGAGACTATAAGGAGTATGTCCACTTCTACCGCAACGTGACATTCTCGGGAATAACACTGTCGCAGTCGGTTCACTTTCATACACCCGTGTCGTCGTTGGTGCTCGAGAGGATTTGGGCGTCAATTTTGGGACATGTGTACTCCAATGCCAAGCTTGGTCGAGAAACGGATAGAACAGAGGGTCGGTTGTATCTGAAGGATATTACATGTTACAGAGACCTGTTCCACTTCAAGTTTCGATTCTACACTCGTACCAGTAACGAGGATATCCAGCCGAGCGACGTGGAGGTGTACATTCACTTTATGGATGCGTCGTCGCCGGAAGAGCTTTGTGTCGGTGCCAACTTTATGGGTGAACTCAAACAAAAGATGATCATCAGTGCCAAGGGTGAAGGGGGGAATGGCGGGCGTGTTATTTGGAAAGGCGGGTACGAATGTGTGAGTGACGCTACCCATCGTTTCCTTGGGGATACAATCAGCGAACTAGACTTGGAGCGGCATTTCTTTTGTCCGTCCTGTCTCAAAGGAGATCTGAGGCAGGCTCGTGCTTGGAACGCTTCAATAATTGAAGACATGATTGAAAGCGGAGAAGAAGAGCTTATCTGTGGATCGGGCCATCGGGAGCGGACGCACTTGCTGTTGGGAATATCGACAAAAAAGACGGAAGACGTTGCCGGCTTTAGATTACCATCGTCTCTTCCGCCCAGTGCTCGGGCGAGCGCCTTGATGCCCGGAGTCGTAATGGTTGGATTGTATGATCCCAAACGATCTTCGGAACGCATTCGAAAGGTGGGGTCTGGGTTCATTGTGGACAAACGGCGCGGTTTGATAGTCACTGCGGCACACACCCTCATGAAACTTGATGATAGGAGGGATTTTGGACGTGATTTTGACGGGATCGAAGGCGCCAAGGCTGTAATTGGTGTCATTCCAAAACGAAGTTCTGCTGGATCCTACCCACCGGCCATCTTTCGGTACTTTGCCAAAATCTACAGGAAAGATCCCAGCCTTGCCAAGCTAGAGTGTCATGTCGACGCTTGCGTGCTGCAAATCACAGCCAGATTCGAGAATGATGTCAGCGGTAATGGAGATCTTTGTAACGAGGAAAGTCTTCACGATCTGGAGGGAGACCTTTCGCTGATGAGAAAGGAACCACTGGAGGAGCTCAAGGTCGTCCAGGAGGCGCATATTGGTGAGCCAGTTCGAATCTTTGGATTTGACCAACCAGACAGTTCAAGATTGAATCGGAGTATTGAGATCTCTCCTGGGCAGATCCAAAAGCAAGTTTCGACGGAAGCATTTGAAGGTGAGCGATACCAGTACACACCGCGAAAGAAGATTCTGTGCAAGTGCCCGACTATTGTGGGGCACAGCGGGGGACCTTGCGTGAATCAAAGGGGAGAGGTGATTGGGATCTTGAGCTGTGCCGATTTTACGGAGAAGTCGCTGTGTTATTTGGCGCCAACCTCCGAATGGATTCATCTCCTCAACGCCGTGCCAGGCAACAAAACATTACACTTGCAGCGTGCTGTTACAAACTAAGGGAACATTGAATTCAAGTATCATAGAACGCGCCAAGGATACAATAGACAAACTCTTTGGGAAGGATGGTTAACTGTGCATTATACAACAGTAAATTATACATTTGTTTAGTTCGCTCCAGCATTGGAATGCTCCTCGATCGATCATTTACTTCTCGACCGTTGCTGAAACTTCTTGCGTTAGAATCACAGCAGCAGGCTTGGAATCGCTCTCGTCGTCCTTCTTTTCTTCGTTGCTGTCGTCAATGAATACAGGATTTGCAACCGATGCGCCAGAGTTTTCCAGCATACTCAATCTAATCGCCTCGGCCATGTCGTCTTCGTACTCCTTGTGGCAGCTGCTATTATTAACACGAGCTGCCGGTTTGCTTTCGACGACTTGGTTATCATCCACAGCAGCACTGGCACTCCTCTCTTGGAGATCTTCGTCATCGTCCACACTAATAGGATGTGCCGCCGTCCTTCCCACGGGGGTAGTAGTATAACTGGGAAGCGTTGGCGCAAATGCAGCACGCCCCATGGAAGAGTCCCTCAAGGAAAGGTGCAATGCCCTTGTCAGCTCGGTATCTGCCCTGTTGGTTCCGAAAATGTCGGGGAAATCTCGAAACAGTGTGGGCCGTAGCAAGTCATTCGAAGGGTGCTGTTGGTCGTCCTCATCATCGTTTGCAGGAATTCTAGCCACAGAGGAAGAAGGAGGAGGAAACGGTGGTGGTGGTTGGTTTCCTCCTCTGGCCTGTGGATCTTGGCCGGCACGGCGATCTCTGGCCGAGGAAGGTCCCCAGAATGGAAAGGGAAGTGGTCCAGTGGATGATTGGAAGGATGTCAATCCAAATAAACTATTGGGATTGGATCGCTGGCGTTTGGGCTGGCGAGGCTGCTGAGGCGTCGAAAATGGAATAGGAACGCCGGGATAAAGGTGTCTCATTTTGGCCGCCATTCGGCTGGGGCTGAACGGATCTCCTGCTGCGGATCCGGCAGAAAACAATCGCGATCTTCGTTGGCTCCGAAACTCGCTGCCTGGTCCAAACAGATCCAATAGGGAATTTCGAGGTCGTTCTCGACGTCGTTCTTCCAAGAATTGTTTCATGTTTTGTAGTTGTCCTCGATCGGCTACATTGGCGCCAGACCAGGACGGCAGACCCGTCACATTGTCTACGAAACCGTGTCCAGGATTACAGCCACACTGAGCGCCGACTTTTCGACACTTCCAACAGACTCGGTAGCCACAGATGCATTGAAGCTTCATTGTTTCATAAAAAAGAACAAAAAGAATACAGTGGCGTCGTGTGAGCGAAAAAAGAAACATCAAAATGTCACATGTCTCAGAAGAACGTAAACAACAAATAATATCTCAGATAGATAAACCCACCTTGTCACAACCCGAGCTCTTGGTGATGCGTCCTTGACAACCTCCGCATTCCAACGTGTTGGCTTCCAGCCACGCCTTGGTAGACTCGTCGATTGTTTCATCCATTGATCGCTTTCGCTTCTTCTTTTTAGAATTGCCATTGCTGCCGGCAGGAACAAACGCACGTCCCAACACCAACGTCGCGTCTTCCACGGGTTGTCGACAAGTCTCTACGGGGCATGTAGGCGCTGCTTGTCCCGTCTTTTCTTCCGTCTGGAACCATTGTTTCAAACAGGTTGAACAACAAGAATGACCGCAGGCGAGACACGGCCAGTAGTCCTCTCCGCCTTCGTTGTAGTCGTCATAACAAATAGGACACTGCTGTTGCTGCGCGACGCTTCCCATGTTACTACTGGCTTGTAAAGGAACGATGTATGTAGCGACAACGGAGAAAGCAAATAGTAGACAAGAAGGAATATTCGTGTCGAGAACAGCAACAGCAAAAGAGCAAAAGAGGTTCTGCTTGAGAGCGGCGTTGCTATTGTGTTTACCGTATTCATATGCCCCCTGGGTCGTCTCCGTTTCCAGTACTAGTTTAACTTGTCTACTAATACAGGATAATGGTGAATAGAATCGAATGAATCATGTGGCTTATATTTAGGGTTTAGGTTTTGCAATTTTGAAGTCAACGTGGTTTATGTGAGGTTGTAAAAGTTTTGTGTGATAGTATGTGTTAAGTGGAGGGTTGGCTTGCTTCCGCTGGGAGGTTGGTGTCTTCTTTTTCCTCTGTTTCCCGCTCTTCGTCGGTACTGGGGTATTCGGTAATAGGATCGTGAGCAAGTTCGGCAGCTTTCTTCATACCATGTGGAGTGTCATCATTGCTTCTGACTATTCGCAGGTGACACTTTGGCCGACGTGGTTCGTGGAACAGGTGGGACGGGAGATGACGTATTTGGTTGCATTGGAACTGGGAATGGTTTGCGAATAATATTGGGAGGTCCAGTATTGAGGATTTGAAAGTGAGGGCACGGGGGATTTATACGGGAAGCTACTGTAGGAGACTTACCACCGTTCTCCTGCTGGTGCTTTTCGAGAAGAGTTCCCAAGAAGGCCTCAAAGTTCATGCCGGGGGTAGTGCAAAACCATGGGAAGGGCCAGTGTGGCAGCTTGAGGCGAACTGGTGGAGTGAGGTGGGGGGGGATGGCTGTCGTGCGATAGTGGCTTAAAATAATGTTTCGACGGGCACCAGTGATGTCCCGCATGCAGACCAAGTCCGATGCATCCAAGGTTTTTCGGTGAAATCAACGACGTAAGACGTGAATCCGGAGTTGACCACGAGGCACCAATAGATCCTCTCTCTGT